TAGTGTAGACTCTCTCAGTTCGAGGGCCTGATCCTGCAGCAAAGAAGAAACACCCCGGCCTGTTAGCTGCATGGGTCAATTTGTTAGAGTAATTTATTCTGCAGTGTCTGACCAAGCATAAAACCACCCTGATGGCTCGGGCAGGGTTACGTGTGCGGTCACCTTCCCTGCTGCTGGCAGAACCTCTGCCCTCAGCCGCTCTGCAGGTGTTGCATCCCACTGCGCTGTCACCTGGGGAGGGGAGCATTTGCACATCCAAAGGATATCCTGGAAATCACTGATCTCTTGCCGTATTCTGGTTGCCTTCTGCCGTTGTTTGAGACGGTAGTTCCCTGGAGGTGGTTAATCATGTCAACGGACCGAGGAGAGCAGCTTTCCTAACCTCAGCCACTAAAAGCTCCACACTGTAGACATCTACAAAATGGAGTGAAAATTGAAAAACCGACTTTAAGACCTTTTCTTTCTTTTTCGAGGAAGAAAAGATGTTCTTTGTTCTGTCTCATGGATGGCTTAGATGAGTTGCAACTGTGGTCACACCTTTGAGGCTATTTAACCGCTGCCAGCTGCTGAGGCAGTGGGCGGCAGTTCACGTGCCTTGCTCCTGGTCCCCTGTGGGTGGTGACCCGTCAGTCATCTCGCACAGCCCTAGGCCTGTTCATTTGCACTTTTTTTGTCCTTTGCGCAAATTACGGTGCAGTTTTGGGACTGGTCCCTGGCTGCAACTATCAAGAGAAACGTGTCAGAAACTCCAGTAGATGGCTGTAAAATACGTCCATGGTGAAATATGCCTGCGGGCCTTTGCTTTCCTGCAGCCCTGTTGCACGTAACGACTCGTTTTTCGCGAATCTGAACGATTTACCGAAACCTTTAAAACTTCAGCTTGGTTGAGGTGGGAGGTGCTACCTCCGGGCCGCCAGGGGGAGCGCGGGCGCTGGGCGGTGGTGGCGGCGCACGCATGCGCAGACTGGGCAGTGGCAGTGCACGCATGCGCAGGACTGCGGTTCCCG